CCTAATCGTTGACATCGGATGCGGAACGGGATATATGACGGAACTGTTGGCCCAATCGGGGGTCAAACACAACCGCATTATAGGCGTCGACATCGACCCCGAAATGACTGCATTCGCCCAACAGAACCACAAATCCGTTGATTCCGTGGAGTATTGGACACAAGACATGAGCCTATCGTGGGATGAGTTGACGCCCCGCGTGAGGGAACTGGAGGGCAGAGTATCACTCATTGTCTCCAATATAGCTCTCCAAGGGATCAAAAATAAAAGTCAATTAATGGCTGTTTTATGCAAACTGTTGGCTACGGAGGGAGTAATTGTCGCTCACATCGAACCCGGCATATTGTTTGAATTGATCTCAACTGTGAGTCACAAATTGGACCCAGGTGCATATCTACAGGATGTCACCCTATGGAGGGACGTGTGTTTAGCCGAGGGATTGTCAGTGCAAACGTGCGATTTATTTGAAATGGTTGTCCGCCTCACAAAGAAACAAGCGTTAGGTTAGCGTTGAATTGAATCTCAATTTAGTATATCCTCTTAAAAACTAATACATAAATAGCGTCACGAAGTCTATGGATATGAATATATAAAATGCTTTCAAATGTTTTCAGAGACACTGTTTATTAGGCCTGGCCGACTCTACCCGGAGACGACACCCGCCTATCGATTGCGACGGAACCTGAGGTTCGACCGAATGGTGCGCCCGAACGCCGAACACCCGAACCCTCGCGCGTGGGATGAGATGGTGGCCGACGAATCGCTCCGGGAATTGGATTTTTACAAACAATTCGTGCGAATGTATTGCCAAAAGAAATGAATGCCTTTCCCATGAAATACTATTTTAATGATTAGTATTTGGGTTAAATTCTTATAATCAATAATCAGGACTGTTTTTAATCTAGAAAAACATAAATATGGTTTATTTGAAATATCGTGTATTTTTTGATATTTACTTATTGGTGAATAACTTTTGCAAATAAAACTATTTTCATTCCAAATATTATCAAATTTTACTGTTTTGGTTACATTTAAAAACATATATTATGTGCTACCTTATTTGATTGCATTATATATTTATAACAAGCATTTATGATGAACATGCTAATTAATATTAATAATCAATTTCGATAAATCCCATATAACCCATGCCTACTTAACTAACTTAATAAAAAATAAAAATTATAATTATTTATATTAGAATGTTAGAAACTAGAAACTAGGTCACTAAGTATTAAATTTGTAAACTTAAAATCATAATTATCTTGACTAACTTAAATGAACATGCATTTAAAACTAGATTAAACTACCTAAATATCTATTGCATACCTTGATACGCATGATGAATTTCACTATTGCCCTTATTATCCTGAGTGGTGGCGCTATAATAGCAATTTAATTCATACACTTGTTTTGCACCCGGAGATTGTTTTGCTTAAAATTATCATTTTTTCTTTTCATTAGACTTTTCAATTTAAATAAACACCGAATTAAGCAGACTAATTTATAATTAAATTTTAACCTTTTATTTCATGATTTATTATATTCATTAAAACTATATTACCCTGTTTGACGTGAGATAGTGCGCCCCGGCATATAGTGCGCTTTCTATATTTACCACAAAACTATGTTTTTACTCAGATAATGCGCACCCACCTTATAGTGCGCACAGATTTTATATAAATATA